AATGTCTCTGGTACATTAGACATATATGTTGTCTGAGGGAAAACATATCCTGAGCTAGCTAACCTTTATGAAAAGTGATTTTGCATATTTGGTTCATGAATTATGTATTAATCATGGATCATACAAGGTCATGAAACTTCTGTAAAGCTGTGATATATTTGTGCCACAAGGCAAAGTCACATAATTTCTCCAAACTTAAGAATTTTGTCAGGAAACTTCACCATACCAAGATCCCCAAAACATTATTTTGAGGATTTTGCCATTCATTTTGTTTTAGCACCCAAGAGTAAACAGCTTGGAAACCTACTTCCCTCTTAACTGCCAAGAGTTAAGAGTTTTTAGAACTATTGTATTACTGTTTACTTTGTTTAGTGTTAAATAGTCCTGCTTTGACATATAGTAACATGTATTCTAGCCACTTCCTAGATATGGAAATTTCACCCACCCCATTTCCCATTGTGGGTGTGATTGGAATCAATCTGCTTCAGAGTATTGCCAATCTCAGGTCAAGTGGAGGTTAAGAGCATTTTAAATAGACATTAGAGATCAGAATTAGCTCAGTCTCAATTCAGTTTTTGTACATTCAGAACTTATGGAAACCAAATATTTGTACATGTTACAAACATCTGTATTTGTGGGATGATTTTACTGCTTCTCTCTACAGCTTAAAACTATGCTTCATGATTTTATGGGAAACTTTAGTTTTTTTAATTTTTGCAAGCTAAATGGCAGACTCAATATATTATTAAAATTTATTTTAGCTTTATATAGCTACTTCCCATCTGACCCTCCTAAGATCTTTAGGATAAAAGAGGCAAAATTTACTGCTTCTAAATATTCACCTTAGTGTTGTTAGAAACAAGAAAATTCAAAAATAAAATGTAGATGAAGAGAATAGTATATTATAGCATGAAGACAGTTCTCTATAGACATCCTCCTGTATCAAGTAATGCAACCCCTATTTCCTCCAGGATTAGAAGGACAATAGGAGAAGAGATAAACTATTGCCCTAACTTTCTTTAATCAATTGAAGTAAGATTTTGTTTTTCAAAGCATCTGCTTAAGTTTACCAGACTTTTACTTTGCATAGGTGAATATGTTAGAGATGCATGTTGTTCTAAGATGTGCTGAATGTTGCTAATGCTGAACATTAATATGTAACAAGTGTGGTGTTAGGAATAGATATTTCTTTGTTCTCAGACCATTAGAAAGAGGCCCTGCTGAAGGAACATTCTTTAATGCCAACTAAGATAAGAAAAAGCCATGTTGGCAAAATATGTGATGGGTGCTCATTGGGAGGTGTTGAAGAAGATGATGTGGTCTCCATAAGGCGTCTCTGATTAGCTATGCTCAGTCACTGGGTCGATGTAGGAGGGGGGGGGGGCGTCAGGATAGAAGAACTATAAAATGTAATGTATTTAAATCTTTAAGGGTGGTTCTTGGCTCAAACTTCATGTTGAAGTCAGCTGAGATCCCCCGCTCTTTGCAAACAGCTTAACAAAATAAAATCTCTGTGTTTTCACCGATCCAAGTTTTTGTCATTTGGATTCATTTCCAACAATTGGTGGAGAATGTGGACAACTGCTCTCTTCTGATGCCCTGGCCGGCAGAGTCAGTGAGGAAGGCATGCCCCATTGATTTCAATGGTCCACAGTCAGCTCCGCTGTTCAGGAGCATAGAACAAGACATAGATCTGTGTTTAAAATAGAGGTCGGTTGAAAACAGAAAGAGAAGGAAGGGCACTAGGTTTATGGGATTTCTGGAAACAACTGGGCAACTCTGTGCACAGACCAAGGTAAGAAAAGTGGACTTTATTGCCTTTGTGGTTAAGAGGGTTAGGTAGGGCTATGAGAATCTGAGACTTGTGTGGGAGGTGTATAGAGATGACCCTAGCAGTCCTTGGGCTGTATTGAAGGTCGAATAAAGGTCTCTATAGATCTTGATCTTTAAAATAAGCTAGCATTAGCTGGGAACTCAGGATTTGTAGGGAAAAATTTGGATCTTTAAAATAAGCCAGTGCCAGCTGGGAACTCCAGGCTCTCCAGGGCGGAGACAGACCTTTAGTGGCAGTAAGTGGTGTCTTTTGCTCTGGCCAGGTGCCAACTGTGTGTGTACAAAGGTCTCACTGGAACAAGTTGGTAAGGATTGCTCCAGTCTGGTAACTAACCATGGCAATTCTGGTGGGTCCCAAGAGAAATATGTGAAAGAGAAGTGTAGTTCAAACTTGCTCTTGAGAGCCCTGGCAAATGATGTGTGGAAAAAGCCAGCTTCTGCTGGGAGATTCAAGCTAGAAAGGGAACATGCCCAGGGCAGAGACACATAGTAACAATTTATGGTTTTTTTATTATTTACATTTTTTATTTTTAATCCCTTTTAATTATTTAGTGCTTAAGGAGGTAGAACAATGGGTGTAACTTCGAGTAAAAGTGAGAAGTTCACTAAAACAATTAGGAAGAATCCCAAAGTGTAAACAGACCTGAGTAGACCTGTAGGGGAAAAAAATACTTAGAGGTTGGAAAGCCCCTCCATATAGTAAGATGATTCATACACTGGGGTTGACCAAAGAAGATATGGTTGATTTGTGCTGTGGTGTGTGGTAGAAAGAACTAAGCAAGAAATAATAAAAATGGCTTTGCCTGTTTAAATGGAAAGACTCATAATTTGACTTGATCAATTTGATGTGATTTCTATTAAAAATTCTTAGATGTGCATGGATAATAATTGTATGCAGAATTGAATGGGATTGAATTGAAGAAAAATATCCTTTACCTTTGTATAGCCCCAATTGGGGCTGCTGCATTTCAAAACAAAACATAATTGTGACATGCTTGGCCAGCCAGATAATTAAGTTGGCTTTCCGGATTGGACTTAGAGCTGTGGGAAGCAGGTAGGCAGTGGTTAGGGCCCACAATCAGATTTGTGATTGGAAACACTCCTTGAGTTATCCACTACTCTGAGAACAAACTACAGCTTGTCCAAAGGAGAAAAAAAAAGTGGAGATTAAAAGGGACAAAACCTCCCCAGGTCTGGAAATGTGTGTGCGAATTTGTTTGTGTGTAATGATTTCCAGACCTGGAGGATGAGACCCCTCTAATAACAGTACACAAAATTATTTACACAATGGAGCTCATTGGCTCCTAGAAAAGAATTGTAAGAAATGCTTGGTTTTCTTGGAGAAAGAATGAAATGAATTTTTTGTGTGGGAAATTGTTTATGCAAGCAGTCTGATTGCAGTACAAATGTGCCAGTATGTTGATGGTAAAAAGTTGGTGTGGATGTCTGTGTGTTGATCCCCATCCCAGATTAAAAGGAGAGTAAGAAATAGTGTGTACAAGGAAATGAGAAAGATCCCATGGAGAAATGTGTGTGATTTACGGAAGAGAGAGAGAGAGAGAGAATTTTTTTGACTGAAAGAGCAAGAGAAGCAGGAGAAAGGGGTGAGGTGGGGTTTGAGGCTTTTTGCTCACTTTAGCCATTTTTTTCCTTCTGTTTTTATCTGAGAAAGGTGGGGCTGGACACAGCTTTTCATATTTCATATCATGATTTTTCTCAGCACTTCTGCAAGCGGGGGAACCTTGGATTGCTGGGCTGAGGTTGGTGGTTTGCCTAGAACTTACTGGCTCAGCTCCCAGTTTAGCACAAGTTACAATGGAGCTTAGCTCAGCAGGGAAATCAGTTTAGGCGCACTCTGTATATGCTCTTAATCCATATTTTTCTGAAAGCAGAAAATTGGCACTGAAGTTTGACCCAAATATATTTTAGAGCATTGACTAAAAATACCTCATTTAGATTGTTTTATCCAAGTTGTTCTTCTTACAGCCCTCTTTTATGTCTTTATGTCTGTGTGCCTTATGGATGCTTAAGAATCAAGATGCTTCATCCTGTGGCATTCATTGTTTGTGTGTGTTTGTTAGCAACACAAGTTGTTGCTGTTTTAGGAATAGTTGTAGAGATGAGTTAGAAATTACAATAGGTAGAAAGAGAGTGTCATCACTTAAGACTTTCAAGAAGAGATTGGACTGCCATTTGTCAGAAATGGTGTAGGGTCTCCCACTTGGGAGGAGGGGTTGGACTAGATGACCTACAAGACCCCTTCCAACTCTGATTGTCTGTTATCTGCTGAAGTTGTTGTTAAATGAGCTATCTGTCAAGAATAAAAGAACATTATTGTGTTGGGGTAGTTGTATGAAAGTAATACAAGGAAAAGACAGACTTTTGGTCTAGTTAGCTAGAAAGTTAAGCTGGTTTGCACAGATTTGTGCAGACTTGGAAGCCATGATGGCAGTGCTAGGACAAGAAGGAGTTAGAGAAAGTGGGGGCAATAGAAATGAGGGAATGAGAGGGTGGAACCAGGGAGTGAAAAGGGGAAAAGGACGTGGTGGTACGGGCAGGGAGGACAGAGTGAGGAGATGTTTTGGGTGTGGCCAGCCTGGATGTTTTAAGAAAGACTGCCCGAGCCTAAGAAGGGAGATGCAAGTGTATACTATGATAGCATAAGATGAAAGTCAATACTAGGGGTGTCAGGGGCTTTGTAAGTAAGAGGAAGTTGTGTTTTTAATTGACACTGGGGCAGCGAGAACTTTAATATCAGAGATAACTTTAACTGCAGAGATGAAATTAAGTGGACAAAGTATGAGAGTATCTGGAGTAAGATTTGAAATACCCAAATTAATCCCCCTCTAATTGGGAATAAAAGGACAAAATAAAAAGATAGAGGTAGAAATGTTGTACATACCTGAAGCAGGTATTAATTTCTGGGAAGAGATTCCCTAGCAATTCTTCATTGAATTTGGACCAGAAGAGATGATTCCTATGAAGGTTTTGAACCCCACTTAAAATAACACTCAAGAATCCAAACGAAGTAGTTAGGCAAAAGCAGTATTCAATTTCTATAGAAGAATAGAAGGGGTGGCATTCCAACCCTTACCTAAAAACAAGCAAGAACCCAGGAAATTCTTAGGCTTGGTGGGATACTGCAGACTATGAAATGATGATCTTACCAAACTCCTCGATGCAAAGTTAATTGAATCTGAACCTTGGAATCTGAAGTGGGAGGGAAATGAAAGAGGAAGCTTTGAAAATTTAAAATAAGCCTTAACCAAGGATCCTGTGTTAAGTTTGCCAAATTTGGAAAAGCCATTCCATCTCATTGTAAGCACAGAGAATGGATTTGTACAAGGTGTATTGGCTCAGGACTGGGCAGGACAATGGAAGCCTGTGACATTCCTGTCAAAAATAATGGAAAATTGACCTTTGGGGGAGCCCTCATTGTGAGTACCCGACATCAAGTCAGAATCATTCTCCAGCAAAAAGCAAGAAGATGGCTGACTGATTCCAGAATTTTGAGATATGAGGCAATACATTTCTTAGCCAACACTAGATCAGTGATCAGTATGGATTAGAACATTATTGTTCTGAAGTAATAGATTTACAAACTAAAATAAGACCTGATTTTGGGGAACACCTCCTTGAGAAAAGAGAGGCAATTTTTATAGATGGTTCTTCTAAGGGGGAGGGGGAGCACGGAAAAACATACCAAAGAGAAGAATACCAAAACCTAGAAGAATATCAGTGACACATGTGAATGCACACTGAAAAGGGACATCATTTGAGAACATAGGTAACCGGATTGCTGAATTCCTGTGTTAGAATCAGTGGGAGAAATTCCTGTGTTCACTGAAAAAGAACAAAGAGTTACAACAAATAGGAGGACAGGAGGGGGAGAAGGGAAAGTGGTTTCTCCCAGATGGAAGACAAATAATAAGTAAACTAATTGCACAAGAGTTTTTGGAAAAATTACATGAAGGCAGTCATTGGGGAATTCAAGCTATTGTAGATGAACTTCTGAAATGTTATGGTTGTATTGGAATATACCCTGTAGCAAAATCAGTAATAGACAAATGTTTAATTTGTAAAATGGTAAACAAACAAGCCATCAGGAAACAACAGATGGGTGGAAGACCACCAGCTTTAAGACTCTTTCAGTGTATTCAAGTGGATTTTATAAAATTACCTAAAGTAGGGAGAGTAAAATATTTATTGGTCATAGTGGACCACCTCACAGGGTGTGTGGAAGCTTTTTCCTGCAGTAATACTACAGCAGCAGTGGTCTCAAGAGTTTTATTAGATCAAATCGTCCCTTGATACACAAATAGACAGTGATCAAGGAAGTCATTTTACTTCCAAAATATTACAGAACATCATGGAAGCTTTAGGAATAAGTTGGAAGCTACATACACCTTTGCACCCCCAATCTAGTGCTAAAGTAGAAAAGACTAATGGCAGAATAACTAAACTGATATTGGAAACATGTATGCCATGGATTAAATGTTTTCCTTTGCCTTACTGAGAATACAGAGCCAACCTCGATAAGATATTGTTTTATCACCTTATGAATTGTTGTTTGGAGTAGCCTTTACTCCAGGAAATATACATATTGATTCCCTAGAAACTCGAGTTAAGATATTGAAGCAATATGTACATAAACTGTCCAGATATTTTGATTTCCTCAGGAAACAAGGACTTGTGGCTCAAACACCACCTTTGAAGTTTCCAGTCCATAAATTCCACCATGGTGATTTGGTGCTTATCCGGAGTAGGAAGGAGGAGAAGTTAACCCCAAAATGGGAAAGACTACTTACCTCTGAAACTGCAATCTGAATGGCTGAGAAGGGTTTGATGCACAACACTCGCGTAAAAGGCCCTGTGTCTACAACGACCACCTGGACCAGCATTTTGCATGGGATCCACTGAAGTTAACCTTGCAGAAACAATAAACTAATAACTGATGAGATTTGCCCCCATAGGTTCCAAATTCGAGTGGAAGGAGCTGAAAAGAGGTGACGAGTCCATATCTAGTGGAGAAGTAAAACCCGGAGCTGGGACCAGGAGTGGAAACCCATATACGTGGTGTTAAAAATGAAAAATAAGGTTTAATTGTATTAAAAATAGAGGATGGGAAAAAGACCTTCTAAAGTCAACTTAAGAAATTTTTATGCTGATATTTGTTATATGTGGGTGGAGACTTTGAGAAACTGGTAAAGGATATTTTGAAGGAAGAGTGTGATATTGTAAGATGACTCAGATTTTAATGTTCTGGGGAACTATTGGAGTTTTGGAGGGTTTACAACAAGAATGTGAAGAATGTATACCAACACAAAAGGTAAAATCACAAAAATATTGAACTATCACACAGTCTGTGGATGCGAGAGGCAGAGTGTCTCATATAGTTATAATGGAACACAGTACCCTAAATGTATAAAAGAAAAGAAAATATTCTGTTATGACCTTCGCAAGGATCCTAGACAATGCACTTTGCAAATAAGAAGTGGGGGGAAGAAGAAATCAAAAATGGTTAGGGCAGAAACATGATTTGGGATCCTCTTTCTTTGTAATTTTTGATGATGCAGACAATCTTTAATAATTTTCACAGATTGGTATTGGATTATTTGCTAGCTAAGGAGAGAGATGTATGTGGTAAATTTAATTTAACCAACTGTTGCTTAGAAATTGATGATACTGGAGAAGTAATTACACAAATCACAGACAGAATGAGAAAAATAGCTCGTGTTCCAGTACAGGAATGGACGGAGCTATTAGGTAATGAAGGATTTGGGGGGGGATTTTTAATAATTAGAGACAAGCCTATTTATGGCAAGTATGGTTGTGTTGGGTTTGATCTATTTACCATATCTGATACCCCTGATAAGAAATGTAGTACAGAGCATTATTGAAGGTATGATAACTGTCACTCAAAATAAAGATGAACATATGATGATGATGATGAATGATGTTAATGAACACACTGTTCTTATGAAATTTGAAAATGTTGAAGAAATTAGAGAAAGCTTAAGAGAATTCCAGAAGTAATGTTTTATTTTAAGAAATGTATGAAAAATAGGGTGGAAAATCTGGCAAAATGGTGTTGAAGAAGATGTTGTGGTCTCCATAAGGCGTCTCTGATTAGCTATGCTTGATCACTGGGTCGATGTAGGAGGGGTGTGGGGGGGCGTCGAGATAGAAGAACTATAACATGTAATGTATTTAAATCTTTAAGGGTGGTTCTTGGCTCAAACTTCATGTTGAAATCAGCTGAGATCCCCCGCTCTTTGCAAACAGCTTAACAAAATAAAATCTCTGTGTTTTCACCGATCCAAGTTTTTGTCATTTGGATTCATTTCCAACAATTGGTGGAGAATGCGGGCAACTGCTCTCTTCTGATGCCCTGGATGGCAGAGTCAGTGAGGAAGGCATGCCCCATTGATTTCAATGGTCCACGGTCAGCTCTCCTGTTCAGGAGCATAGAACAAGACATAGATCTGTGTTTAAAATAGAGGTCGGTTGAAAACGGAAAGAGAAGAAAGGGGACCAGGTTTATGGGATTTCTGGAAACAACTGGGCATTTGGATTCATTTCCAACAGTATTCACAACAATTAGAATTTTTCTCAGCCTTTGGTCTTAATAACTGTTTTAATGTGTATTAAAATTATACAGCTGTATACACTGATACAGTATATTGATATAGGTCATTGCAGAGTTATATGCTGCTTTAAGCAGCTTACATAGAGAGCTTACCCAAAGATTTAGGTAAAGATGTAGATTTTTGTAGAAAATGACCAGGCTGAGCCTGAAGGAGGAGGGGCCAAATGCCTCATTAGTGCTGAGCCCCTGTGTGCCCACAAGATATCTAAGTCCAGCACATCTTGAATTTCTTAACTCCTGCTAATTTCCCTTGACCGCTAGTAGTTCAGATTCTTGTAGGGAGCTTAAGCTTGTAATAAATCTTAATATTCATTTGAACTGCCTGAATCTCCTGATTTCCCCAGAGCCTGACTATTTTATCACCCTTCTAAATTTTAGTTAAAAAGAAAAAGGGAAGGTGGGAGCGTGGACTGCCTCAACTCCCAAAGGGAATTTATTCCAGAGCATGGGCTCTGTCATCAGACTGAACAGAGTTTGCTGCTCATGTTAGACAAATGTCATGACATAATAATACTGCTTCTTTTAGGATCCATCAATATGGGATGGATTCTACAGTAACAGGCAATTCTACAGATATTTTGAAATAAACCCAATACAGGTTTATATATCAAACTGAGCACATAGAATTCAGCTTAAAAAGTGAATTGGTAGCCAACATATGTTCAGTTCTATATGTCCCCTAATGGAAAGGCCACCTATTCCTCATACTACCCTTTTATTTAAAGAGTTCAAACCACATTACTAGCACATATGTATATAGTCTTGTACTAGCACCTATAACTAGGTGTCTCTTCTTTAGTTAGAGGAACAAATGATTAAGCATTAAACATATAAACTTTTAATAAAATTGCTTTTTCATTATTGGCTGCTGTTGTCTAATATTAGTACTGGATCTAAAAGAAACCAGACTGCTAATGTGATTTTAAAGGGGAAGTGTAAATTATAGAAGTGTCACCCAATCTCTGAAGTATGCTTCCTAGAACTAACAACTGTATCTTCTCCAAATGATTCTTAAATCATGATTGATTGATTATATGCTTTAAAATATTTTTGATTCCTAGCAACAACATAGATGTTTTCCATGATGAACTTCATAGAACTTAATCTGGTCTTTCAAGTCTCCCAGTGGTGCACTGTTTGGCATTTTAATGGAGTCTGGTCACCTTGCTATTCTCCTTTCTCTCACCTTTCCCAGAATTACAGCCTTTCAAGAGAGCTTCAGATAATGTATCCACAGTAGGATAATTTGAACCTGATCATTTATGCCTTGAATGAGTCTCAATTTGTTATCAGTTTATGCAACTCTATTCATTATGCCTCCTCTCTTCAGTGATTGGTAGGGAAGAGGTAAATGTTGTATGAGAATGAGTAGCGAAATTCAGGAGTTCAGTTCAAAAAGGTTAAATGTACTTCTTCTACAACAGTTATAGTTTTAGAAATTACAGTTATGACATTTTCAGAATTAGCAAAGCTCGTATATGTATTCTTAACTAGGAAAGCTAATCTAATGAATAGACATGGTTTTATCAGCAGTGGATGTCATACTCTTAGTTCCAGAATTTCTACTGTAAACGAGTACTGTAAAGAAGGTAATCTTCACCTATTTGACTTTAAAAATTTTACTATTTTTACCCAAACCCAGAATAATTGCAACCCAGTGCTTTTTAATTTTAAATATTTTAATCCATCTTTTAAGGTTCAAAACATTAGGATGTAAAATATATAAAGAATTTTGAAATAATAAAATAATAGTTTTATAAAACAAACCAAA